CCTCTCTTCAGCCTACCTAAACTTGTAGTCAAGAACGAGCATAGAGGAATGACATCGCTCAACAACATCAAAGTCGTCAATCCTGACCAGATACATTGTTAAAACACAATAGGCAGTACTGAAGAACAATAAAAACAAAAAAACGTGTATTGAACTGAGGGTTGAGGGTGGCGCGCTCGACCGCATTCGGCTTGCTCCAGTTCGAATTTGATTTCGTCCACTGTGCGACTGGTGGAGTGAGGAGGACTATAACCATGTATGCTGTTCCAACTAACAGCGGTTAAGGGATCTCGCGCGTGCGGCAATCAGCGACGGCGCGGTTTGACGCGCCCGAACTCCACTGCGCGTCTATTGAGGCTCATAACACGTTAAGACAAGAAAAGGCTGAAGAACCATTTTTTCTGGGGCTCCGCCCTGGACCCCACAAAAACGATCCCCCCTTGCTTTTTTTACCCGATTTCCAGCCTATCATTTGTCCACCTCGTGCCGGGCCCTGACCAAATGCCTCTATGCAGTGCGGTTTGAACCTTAGGAAGAAAATCTAATCGGAATGTTGAGGAAGTACTGTGTTTGATTTACACAGTTTAAGAAATTATCATCTCTGAGTTCAGAAACTTCGGCATCAGCATTTTAAAATCACTTGACAGTGGCTACAAATTCTTACGTGAGCTGTCAAGCAAGATCCTCTTTGAACAAGCTGGCGTGGAAGGAAGGCATACCTCTGCTTAGTCGCATATAGTGCTTATGAGCAAGAGCGAAATGGAGCAAGGTAGTAGTTCTTTACTTTTGAGAATGTAACAATATGGCAAATCTATTGCCTGAAGTGAATATCTTGCATAACGCGCCTGTTTCGTTCAAATTTTTCGCAATAATACAGTGCTGAGCTACTTATCATGCTTGTAGCGTAAAGGCTGGTTTTACCCAACTACGCAAATAACTACTGCCCATAATTCAAAGCACGTCCTTGAACAGAAAACTAGTGCCACTGTAAATTTGCATTTCAGGCCAGAAATGCAGGTACT